TTTTTTGAGACAGAGTCTCACTCTGTCGCCAGGCTGGAATGAAGTGGTGAGGCGATTCTCCTGCCTCAGCCTCCCAAGTAGCTTGGATTACAGGCACGCGCCACCATGCCTGGCTAATTTTGTATTTTTAGTAGAGACCCGGTTTCTCTATGTTGGTCCTGACCTCGTGATCTGTCCACCTCAGCCTCCCAAAATACTGGGATTACATGTGTGAGCCACCGTGCCAGGCAGAGCCAAAAATTAAAACAATTTAACCCATGGAGAAAGAGAGTAGATGGTTACCAGAGGCTAAGAAGGGTAGCCGAGAGGGGGATAAAGTGGAGATGGTCAATGGGATGAAAGTGTAGTTAGAATGAATAAGATCTAGTGTTTGATAGCACAGCCAGGTGACCATGGTCAACAATAATCTATTGCACATTTTAGTTCATTTACTGACTCTTGAGACAGGCTGGAGTGCAGCGATGCGATCTCAGCTCTGCAAACTACACCTCTCAGGCTCAAGTCAGCCTCCCAAGTAGCTGGGATTACAGGTGCATGCCACCAAAGCCCAGCTGTATATTTAAAAATAACTACAAGAGTGAAATTGGGGCCAGGTGCAGTGTCTCAGTGCCTATAATCCCAGCACTTCGGGATATCAAGGCAAGCAGATCACCTGAGGTCAGGAGCTTGAGAACAGCCTGGCCAACATGGTGAAACCCCATCTTTACTAACAATACAAAAATGAGCCGGGTGTGGTGCATGCGCCTGTAGTCCTAGCTACTTGGGAGGCTCAGGCGGAAACCTGGAGGTCAAGGCTGCAGTGAGCGGTGATCACTCCACTGCACTCCAGCCTGGGCAACAAAGTGAGATCTCTTCTCAAAAAAAGAAAGAAAGAAACAGGAAATGCTGCAGAATATATGTTGTCTGGCCTTAGCAAGGTGAGGTGAAAACCCCAGAAGCCACATAGGGAAAGAGGGTCAGATTTGACCACATGGAAGCAGAGACAGGCAGTGCCCCCCGCCCCAGCCCCCTCCCATCACTGCCTATGCCTGCTCCCCACCCTCTGCAACAGGAAGAGCTTCAGCCGAGCCTGGGCCTCTTGGGGGTTTTCTGGCGTAAGCCCTGAGCTGTACTTCTCATCCTAGCAGCCACCAAATCCCCGCTCTCAAAGAAACATTTGCAATGGGCCCTTTGCCATCCCGGGATGAAATCCATAGAAATATGTTTGTTAACATGTATGTTAAGAAAAAGTTGAGGCTGGATGCGGTAGTTCACCACTGTAATCCCAGCACTTTGGGAGGCCGAGGGAGGAATTTGAGAGCAGCGTGGCCAACGTGGTGAAACCCCGTCTCTACTAAAAATAAAAAAATTGGCCGAGAATTGTGACATGTGCCTGTAATCCCAGTTACTTGGGAGGCTGAGGCAGAAGAATCACTTGAACCCAGGAGACAGAGTTTGCAGTGAGCTGAGACGGCGTGGCTGTACTCCAGCCTGGGCAACAGAGTGAGACTCTGTCTCAAAAAAAAAAAAAAAAAAAAAAGTTCAATGTAATGCCCTAATGGTAACATAAAAGAAAAATTAAAAAGCAATTTACAGTAAAATCTTTACACACCACACTTGAATACCTATTTCACAATTTTGTATGGATTCTGTTGCCTCTAGATGTGATAAATGCCACTCCAATCTTACTGTTGACACAAGATAAATGAAAACATGTCCCTACAAAGACTTGTACATGGCGCCAGGCGCGGGGGCTCAGGCCTGTAATCCCAGCACTTGTGGGAGGCGGAGGCAGGTGGATTGCTTGAGCTCAGGAGTTTGACACCAGCTTGGGCAACGTAGCGAAACCTGGTTTCTGCTAAAAATTAAAAAAAAAAAATTAGCCAGTTGTGGTGTCCCACACCTGTAGAGACAGGGTTTCACCATGTTGGCCAGGCTGGTCTCAAACTCCTGACCTCGGGTGATCCTCTGGCCTCAGCCTCCCGAAGTGCTGAGACTGTAGGTGTTAGCCACTAGGCCCAGCCCTTTCTACTCAATTTGGCAGTGAACCTAAACTGCCTTAAAAAACAAACTCTGTGTTTGTCTTTTTTACAGACAGGGTCTTGCTCTGTTGCCCAGTAGTGCAGAGCGTGATCAGAGCTCGCTGTAACCTCTGACACCTGTGTTCAAGTGATGTGCCCGCCTCAGCCTCCCAGAGTGTTGGAATTACAGGCATGAGCCACCCTGCTCAGCCCTCTTTATTTTCTTTTTCTTCCTCTCTCTCGCTCTTCTCTCCCTCCCTTCCTCCGTCCGTTTCTCTTTTTTTTTACTATCTCCAGTAATGGGTATAAGCAACCCTCCCTCCCTTTCTTTCTCTCTCTCTCTTTAATTTTAGAGACAGGATCTTGCTATGTTGCCTAGGCTTGTCTAGAACTCCTGGCTTCTAGTCATCCTCCTGTCTTGGCCTCCCAAGTAGCTGGGATTATGGGTGTGAGCCAATGTGCTTGGCCATGGATGAATTTTCATAAAGTGAACCCACCCATGTGCCCAGACTGAGGAACAGACATTTACCAGATCCTAGAATCCCACCTTGTGCCCCTCCTGGTCATGGCCTTCCCCCTGTCCATCGAAGGGTCCCCACTTGTTTGACTGTTTATTTATTGGGATGGAGTCTGGCTTTGTTGCCCAGGCTGCACTGCAGTGGCGTGGTCTGGGCTCACTGCAGCCTCCATCTCTTAGGTTCAAGCAATTCTTGTGCTTCAGCCTCCTGAGTAGCTGGAATTACAGGTGTTTACTGCCACGCCAGGCTAAGTTTTGTATTTTTAGTAGAGACAGGGTTTCACCATGGCCAGGCTGGTTGTGAACTCCTGACATCAAGTGACCCGCCTGCCCCAGCCTCCCAAAGTGCTGGGATTACAGGCATGAGCCAGTGTACCCGGCCTTGACTTTTAATAAACAGCTTAACTGAGTGAGTCATAATTCAAACACCACAGGGCTCCCGCATTGAAAGCACACATTTCAATGATTTTTGGTATATTTACAGACTTGTGCAACTATGACCACCGTCAGTTTCAGCACATTTTCGTCATCTCAAAAAGAAACCCCTGTCAATATCAACTGTCTATCCCTCACCCCCACCCCTGGCAACCCCTAAGCTACATCCTGTGTCTAGGGACTTGCTTATTCAGGACATTTTATACAGATGGAATCACACAACATGTGGCTTTTGTGTCTGGCTTCCTTCTCTTAGCACGTTTTCAAGGTTCCTCTGTGCTGTGGCAGGCATCAAGATTTCATCCCTGTTGGTGACTAAACAGTTGTGAGCTGTATAGACACACAACATTTTGTTTATCCTTTCATCACTTGATGGACATCTGAGCTGTTTCTACCTTTTGGTTTTTAGGAGTAATACTGCAATAAACCTTACTTTGTCACCCAAGCTGGAGTGCAGTGGCACAATCACAGATCACTGCAGCCTCGATCTCCTGGGCTCAAGGGATCCTCCCACCTCAGTCTCCCCAGGAGCTGGGACTATAGGTGGGTGCTACTATTCCTGGCTAATTAAAAAAATATATTTTTGTATTTTTTAGTAAAGATGGAGTTTCACCTTGTTGACCAGGATGGTCTCAATCTCTTGACCTCATTATCCACCGGCCTCGGCCTCCCAAAGTGCTGGGATTATAGGTGTGAGCCACCGCGGCCGGCCAATTTTTTGTATTTTTAGTAGAGACGAGGTTTCACCATGTTGACCAGGATGGTCTCGATCTCCTGACCTCGTGATCCACCCGCCTCGGCCTCCCAAAGTGCTGGGATTACAGGCTTGAGCCACCGCACCCGGCCCTATTATTATCTTTTTATTTTTTTGATACGGAAACTGGCTGTCGCCTCTCTGTGCCTCAGTTTCCTCTCCTGTAAAACAGAAGTAACATCATTTACCGCCAAAAACAGAGGACTCAAGGAAGGCTGGAAATGAAACAAGAAAAGAGAAAAAAACCAACATCCCAAACGGGAAAAAACTCGTTTTCCTGGTGTGTGTCTGTGTGTGTGTGTGTGTGTACACGCGCGCATGTTTTCTTTCCTTTTTCCTCCTGTTTTTTTGCTTGTTTTCTTCTTTCTTTTCATTCCTTCATCTCCTTGAAGCTAAAAGTGACGCACCCGGGGCTTATCAGGCTTCCGAAGCCAAAGGCAAGTGGGGGTTGCACCTGGCTCGCGCGGTGACGAAAAGGAACTGCATCGGCTAGGGACCCAATTCCACCAGCTTTCAGGGGCGTTTTCTGCCTGTGGGTGCAGCCCAACCCCGCCCCGCCCGAGACCTGCGCCCTGCGCTCCCGCCAGTAGCCGGCGCGGACACAAAGATCCTGTCCGCTCCACTCCGCCCGCCCCTACTTTCCTGGGTTCCCTCCTGCAGCTCCATTGGCCGGGAGTTCCTGGGGGCGGGGCCTCGGCGCCCCACCCGGGCCCGTGGGCCACGCTCCCTCCCCAGCTGCGCGCTCTCAGTCAGAGCGAAGCGGCGGGCGGAGCAGAGCGGATCTCAAGGTAGGGAACTCTTCTCGGGGATTCCAGGAGGGGCGTGGTGGGCGCCCCCGGCCCGAGGAGCCGCAGGGCTGGAACCTCGGCCTCCTCTCCCGCCGTCTCCCCCATCGTCCCCCAGTCTGCAGGGTCTTCTAGCTCGGCGGTGGGGGGAGCTCCGAGCTGGGTTTCTCTGGGCTTGTTTGGGGAACGCGGGTTGCTTCTCCTCCGGGCAAGGGGTGGGTGTGGCAGCCCCTGGAGGGATTCGCCGCGGACCTCGGGTAGCACTTCCCGCCCGGCCACTTGTTCTCTGCGAGCTGGGGGAGCTCTCCCCGCCCTCCCCGCCGCTTTTGCCAGCCGGCGGGAGCCGTGGACTGGGACTCGCCGGGCGGTGGGCGAGGCGCGGGGGGGCGCGGCACGCGGGAAGCGGAGCCAATCGCGTCGGGCCTGGTCGCGCCAGCTGTGGCTCGAGGTTGGGACGGCGGCCAGTCCCGGCGGGGGAGGTGGGGAGTCGTCCTGGCGCCGCGCCATTAGCCGCTTCCGCGGGAGGAGGAGCCGACGGGCGCGCTTGCTGCTCCGGGTGTTTGCGCCCAGATGGGGGAGCCTCGGCGCTGGAGAGAGACTTCACCCGCGCCCACATGCCCCCTTTTCGCAGGCTGCGCTGGCGGCCACAGGTTTGCAGGCCAGAAAGGTAACGTTGTTTTTTGATTTTTAAAAAGAAAGCCTCCGGCCCTACGGTTTTCTGGGGTTGGAGTGGATGTGTGTGCTGGGGAGGCGGAGACGTCCCGCTCCAGGCAGAGCCTCTCAGGTCTCATAGGTAGGGAAATCACACTGCACAATAGGAGGCGTCTTGGAGCCTCAGTTTCCCAATCTGCATACTGGGGCTCTGACTTCCTGACGTAAGGGGGTGTGTGAGATAAAAGGAGGTGGCTAGACAAGTAAGCTTTTTTTTTTTTTTTTTTTTTTTTTTGAGAAGGAGTCTTGCTCTGTCGCCAGGCTGGAGTGCAGTGGCGTGATCTCAGCTCATTGCAGCCTCCGCCTCCCAGGTTCAAGCGATTCTCTTGCCTCAGCCTCCCGAGTAGCTGGGACTACAGGCGCGCGTCACCACGGCTGGCTAATTTTTGTATGTTTTGTAAAGACGGGGTTTCACCCTGTTGGCCAGGATGGTCTCGATTTCTTGACCTCGTGATCGCCCGCCTCGGCATGCCAAAGTGTTGTGCTGGGATTACAGGCGTGAGCCCTCGCTCCCGGCGCCACTGTTTTTTTAGCTTGCTGTTTTGATATTTCTCAGTCTCTGTGCCCAGTCTTGCCCCTCTTGTCTGCTTCCCATGCTGAAGCCAGAGGGAACTTGTAAAACCAATCCGCTCAGATCACCCCCCACCCTCCCCGCCGCTGCTGAAAATCGTCCACTGAAGTGCCATTGTCGTCTTAAGTCCCGACGTCTCAGCAGGGCTTCCTGTTGTCTTCAGCCATTACCTTGTCCAGTCGCTCTCTGCCTCTGTCCTCCCTTTCTCCGGGCCTTTGGCGCTCCTCTGGGCTTGGGGTCCTCCTTGGATACCCCACCGCCCTCAGCACTCCCTGGGTGGCCTCGGTGATGATCGTGGGTTCTTGTTACTGGTCCCTGCAGGGCAAGAAAGAGTCGCAGATCCCGGCTCAGAGTAGATTCTTTGGAATTCGAATGAGCTGAGCTAGGCCCAGCGTGGGGCCCTGGGGTGGGGTTGAGCGTGGTTAACGGCGGGTCCCCTAGGTGGGGCAACAGTCTCTGTTCCTCGGAGTGGCAAAGCCAGCGCATTTGGTTTCCGTTCCATCAGCAGGGGCAGGAGTGGGAGGGAAGGGGATTTCAGATGGCCCAGGCCTGACAGTGCCACCGTCAGCCGCACAACTATTGTTGACTGAGCCCGCCGTGAGCCTGGCATTGTCGTGGCACCATCTGCACAACTTCCGCGACGCAGCACCGTTCCTGTCCCCTTTGACAGATGAGGAAACTCACATGTGGGACGGTGCAGTTGCTGAGAAGAGGTCACAGTGGAAGTGGGGAGCAGTTAGGGCTGAATCTCAGGTGTGAACCAAAGCCCCCCCCCACACCCCCCCCCGAGAATGGAGGGAAGGATGGAAAGATTGAATGGGGGAAGAGTGTAGAGTGGGGTTCTTGGTGAGAAGGAGGGTTTGGGCTTCCCCTGGGAGAGGCAGTCCAGGCTGAAGACTGGGGCGGGAGCAGGGTCCCAGGTGGGTGGTGGCGGTGGGGTGACTGTCTTCCTGCTGGGCGGGGTCGTCCGACCGTTGGAGGCCTTCCTGGGGTGCTAATGAGGGCAGAGGCAGCGGCAATCTTGGAGGTTCCTTTGGGTACCCGGTATACTCCGCGGGTTTCCGGCCTTTTCCCAGCACTCGGAAGCTCCTGAGGACGGAAGAGCTATTCCCAGCTGGCCTGGGCCTGGGAGGGGGCTCCGGGTGGACTTGGGCGCCTGGCTGCACCTGCCTTTCGGCCCCCTCCCCTTTGCCTGCCGTCCCTCCCCCTGAACTCTCCAACCTCCACCCCTTCCTGTCCCTCCCCCATCTCTCTCGGTCCTCGCTTGCCAGACCCCGGCTGTCCCAGGAACAATAGAGGGGAATGTGGCTAGGCCAGCCCAACGCTGCTGCGTCAATCTCTGGCTCTGTCGCTACTAGGGACAGAGCTCTGTTCTCGGTCACTGTCGCTACTAGGGACCCTTCTATTTGGGCTCAGCTGACCCGCTCCGCCTCTCGACCCGCGTGCCCGCAGTTCTGCCAGGCTGGGGCTCAGCTGCGCTGGGAACAGGGATGGGTCAGCTCAGTGTCCGTGTCCGTTTACAGAGGAGGAACCCAGGTGCACTAACGTAACTTTGTTACTCTTGTAGCGCCTCATCCCGGGCCCGGTGCAATTTCCCTTCCACCTCTTGCAGTCATAATCCTCGGGCTGTGAGATGGGCTAGTAAGGCCGGCCTGCTGCTGTGTTCCCTAGGCCGGGGACAGCTGCCTTGCTGGGAGCTCCTTAGAAGTGTAGAATCTTGGCCAAGAATCTTGAGCCTGTAATCCCAGCACTTTCAGCCGCTGAAATGGGAGGATTGCCTAAGCCACATAGTGAGATCTTGTCTCTACAAAAAATAAAAAAATGAACTGGGTATGGTAGTACACGCCTGTAGTCCCAGCTATTGGGAAGCTGGTGAGAGGATCCCTTGAGCCGAGGAGATTGAGGTATGGTGAGCCATGATTGCACCACCACTGAACTCCAGCCTAGGTGACAAAGCAAGACCTTGTCTCCCCCCCCCCCCCCAAAAAAAGAAAAAAGGGCCGTGCGTGGCGGCTCACGCCTGTAATCCCAGCACTTTGGGAGGCCAAGGTGGGTGGATCACGAGGTCAGGAGATTGACACCATCCTGGCTTACACTGGGAACCGCCATCTCTACTAAAAATGCAAAAAATTAGCAGGGTGTGGTGGCATATTCCTGTAGTCTCAGCTACTGGGGAGGCTGAGGCAGGAGAAGCACGTGAGCCTTTGAGGCAGAGGTTGCAGTGAGCTGAGACAACACCACTGCACTCCAGCCTGGTTGACATGTCAAGGGGAAAAAAAAAAAAAAAGAAGAATCTTAGGCCCCACCCCACACCTACTGAATTGCAATCTGCCTTTGAACAAGATCCCCGACCGCACTAAAGTAGAAGTAGAAGCACTGGCTTAGACTTCTGTGCCTTAGTTTCCTCATCTGGAAAACAGGGATGCTAAAAGTGCCTCCCCTGTTGGGTTGATGTTTAGATGCATGTAGTTGATGTTTGTAAACCCCCAACAGGGTGTGATGCTGAATCTGCGGACAGTGGCTGTAGGATGTATGAAAGCACAGCTTGCCCCGTCCCCATGGGCCAGTACCCACCCCCCATGCCTGCCAGCAGTTGTCTGGCCCTGGGCTGCAAGCTGTCACAACACGATGCCCGGCCCTGGCATTCCCCAGTCAGCATCCCATGGAAGGCTCAAGACACCCTCCCTTTGCAGAGCAGGCTTGGAGAGGTTCTCGCTTTGCTAAGAATGAGGTGTCTGTCTGACTTGAACTGAACTCTTGCCCCCTGCCTTCTATCGTCCTGTCTTCAATAAAGGGGCTGAAGCTGTCAAGAATGGAGTCTGGCTGGGTATGGTGGTTCACGCCTGTAATCCCAGCACTTTGGGAGGCTGAAACTGGTGGATGATCTGAGTTCAGGAGTTCCAGACCAGCTTGGCCAACATGGTGAAACCCCACCTCTACTAAAAATACAAAAGTTAGGTGGGCGTGCCTGTAGTCCCAGCTACTTGGGAGGCAAAGGCAGGAGAATCGCTTGAACCTGGGAGGTGTGTGTGTGTGTGGGGGGGGGTGCATTGAGCCAAGATGGTGCTACTCCACTCCATCCTGGGCAATAGAGTGAGACTGTCTCACAGAAAAATGGAGTCTCCTTCAGTGAGCTCCCTCTCACCAGAGTGTAAATGGCTGATAGTGCTCTTTGTCAGGGCTCGCTCTCACTAGGGTTCAAATGGCTGATGGCACTGCTGAAGGCCTCCTTGCAGTAAGCTCCTGGCTGCTTAGCCCCTGTTGATGTGGGGGGTTTCAGGCCAGGAGGGCAGGACACTGGGGAGTGGGAACAGGGGTGCTGCATGATTGGGTCCTAAGTCTGCAGATATGGGGGTAGGCTGAGCAGGAGCTGAGCACCAGAACCTTCCAGGAGGAGCTGCAGAGCTTACGGAAAATTCCCAGGCTATTTTGGGCCGTGGCCCCCTTCTCCCTGCTGACACACCCGTCTCTAGGGCAGTCAGGGTGGGGTGGCTTCCTCCCATGGCTGGGCACTTATTGGAGCCTGGGGGCTGACTGGGGAAGGGGGTACATGGCCAGCTGGGCACCTCACCCTTCCCCTGCTGGCTTTTCTGCATAGCATTTCCACTGTCTGACATACTGTGTATTTCACCACGGTTTTTATTCACTGGGCGACCCTGGGCAAGTTACTTGACTCTGTGTCTTGGTCCTGTCCTCCCATTAGTGAAATGGGGATGGAATGAGCTGAGCTGTATGAAGTGTTGTAAGTAGTAAGCAGGCTGGCCTCAGGATACTGCTGTGATGGTGGTAGTAATGGTCTGTTCCACTACCCCATCTGTTGGTTGACTAGGAAGTGGCAGTGTTCAAGGTCCTCTATGGCAGCACAGGGCCCAGCGTTCCAGGTGAGGGAGGGTCCCCTGGTCCGTGGGCCTGTGTGTACAGACAGCAATAAGTTTGTGCATGTATACAACATGTGTGTGCACATACGCAGCTCACATATACACACGTGCACACACAAGCACACATGTACACGCAGCCTGGCAGTCATGACTTGCCTTGGGTGTGACGTTTGGTCCGAGTTTGTTGCAGGCCCGAAGCTCATCCCTGGTCTGGCCCTGAGCCTCCAGCTGGCTTGAGAAGCAGGTCTGTTTGCAGCCTCTTTCCTTCCCCAGCTGTGGGGAGCTGACGGCTAGTCACAGAGGGTGGGCCTTGCCTTCTCCTGGGGACACTACAAGGCCATGCCTGGTGTTGCTGGGAGAGCAGTCGCTGGCTGGAAGCTGGGCGGGGCTGGGGCTGCTGTGTGGCCCCATCTTGGTGTATGTGTGTATTGTGGAGGGGACAGAGCAGCGGCTGGCCAGGGCCTCAGAGCTGGCTCCTGGGTGTTTGGCTACCTGCCCCCAGCTATTTTCTTTCCAGCTGGACTTTGCCCAGCCCTCCCCCGCACTGAGGCCATTCACTTCTCTTTGCTGGGCCTTCTGGGGAGTTAGGTAGCCCTGGGCCAGGCCTGCGCTGGCCACCCCAGCTACTCTCCAGCCCAGATGGGCCGTGAGAGGCTGGATAAAGCTCCTGGGTCTCCCAGGAGGTCCTGCCCCAGTCAACATCTGCTCCCTGTGCCTCAGGTTCTTCCACTGTCAGGTGAGCAGGAATATAGCCGCCAACTGCTGGGTTGGGCACGATGCTGAGCACACACCAGGGCAGTCGTGGCCAGCTGGGGCTTTGGATCCTCATGCCCGCTGAGAATGAGCGTTGGAGGCTGGGTGCTGTGGTTCACGTCTCTAATCCCAGCTCTTTGGGAGGTCGAGGTGGGCCGATCGCTTGAGCCCAGGAGCTCTCAACTGGCCTTGGCGATATAACGAAACCCTATCTCTGCAAAAAATACAAAAACAAAGCTGGGTGTGGTGGCACGTGCCTGTAGCAGTAGTCCCACTACCTGGGAGGCTAGGGTGGGCAGATCACTTGAGCCCAGAAGATTGAGAGGCTTCAGTGAGCCATGATTTCGTCACTGCACTCCAGCCTGGGCAACAGAGTGAGATGCTGCCTTTTTTTTTGTTGAGATGGAGTCTTACTCTGTTGCCCAGGCTGGAGTGCAGTGCTGTGATCTTGGTTCACTGTAGCCTCTGCCTCCTGGGTTCAAAGGATTCTCCTGCCTCCCAAGTAGCTGGAACTACAGTTGCGTGCCACCATGCCTGGCTAATTTTTTGTATTTTTAGTAGAGATGGGGTTTCACTGTTTTAGCCAGGATGGTCTCCATCATCTGACCTTGTGATCACCCACCTCTGCCTCCCAAAGCGCTGGGATTACAGGCGTGAGCCCCTTGGGGCCATTCCTGGACTGTCTTGAGACCATGCTCTGTGCCGGGCCCATGGGCTTCCATTGGCATCTCTGAAGCATGGGGTGCACCTGGCGTGTTGAGGGGGATGGGGTGGAGAAAGAAGGGGGCCCCCATTTTGGGTTGGTACCATTCACCCAGGGGAAGATGAGCATAATTAGGGGTGTGCAGACAGGCAAATGGGGGTGACAAATGGAAGACAGAAAGATGATGATGCACCGTGATTCCTGAGTGGGCCCTGCCTTTTACACCGCCTATCCTGCCTCCTGTTCCTAGTCCCCCACCCACCACGTGGTTTCCCCACTGGCCTTAATCCCACCCAGGCCCTTGGCAACCTCAGGGCCTTTGCACAGGCTGTTAACCATACCTGAGACAGCATCCCTCGGTTTTTCAAACGGCTGTGCCTTTCTTGCTATTCAAAGCCCTGCTGGCACCCTGATTGGCGTGTGGACTCCCACCCTTCTCCCCCGTCCCCTTCTGGGATCTGTAATGATCTGGTTTATGTTTGTTTATCTGTTCTCTGGCTTCAGGTTCAGCTCTTCGTCACTAGGGCCTTGAACAGGGCGTGGTATTGGGCATGTGTCTGTTGAGGGACTTGATGACAATGGTAACAGTCATGGCTGACAATTACTGCTCACTGGCCCTGGGTAGATGGTGTGCCCAGTGGTTTGTATTATTTTGTTTTCACTTCAGCTTGATGGTGTGAAGTGTCGGGACTATGAGAATTCCCATTTTACAGATGTGGAGAGATTAAGTAACTTTACCCAAGACCACACAGCAGGCAAGTGGTAGGATTAGAAGTCAGCTATGCTGTCTTAGCAGGGTATGGTGGCAGTTGCCTGTAACCCCAGGTACTTGGGAGGCTGAGGCAGGAGAACTGCCTTAACCCTGAAGGTGGAGATTGCAGTGAGCCAAGATTATACCATTGCACTCCAGCCTGGGTGACAGAGTGAGACTCCATCTCAAAAAACAAAAACTCAGCTTTGCTTGACTGCAGGAAAGAGGGTGACTTTGGATAGAACACGGCAGGGCAGTACCTCTCACCATACAGTCACCAGGCTACTGTCCCAGGAAGCCTGGATAGGGCCCTCCCCTCTTCCCAGAACTCTGGGCATTGAACATTCTAGGACACTATGACCTGGGTTGGTGGGTCATATCGGGGGGCCCTGACTCCCAGGCCAGCAGCTGGGGCCTTTTTGAGGTGGGGGCTCCCTGGACTCAGGGTCCTCCCTGGCCACAGCTGCAGCTGAGAGAAGGGACAGGAGGTAGGATGCCACTTCCTTCAGGAGGCCAGCCAGCCAGCCACTTTCCAGCCCCACATAACTGAGTCTCCACAGAGGAGGGTGGAGGAACGTGGGGGGAGAGGCTTTGTCCTTTCAGGGAGGAGACAGCCCTTTCCCTCTGAGTAATCGGGCCTGGTTCTTGGGTGGCTATGGTTGAAGGGGGCGGTGGGGGCATTTCCGGGTCATGTAGCTCAAAGACTCCTATAAATGAGGGCATCTGGGTGCCAAACTGAGATTGAGGGTTACCAGAGCCTCCGTTCTTTCCACGAGTAGCTGGAAACCTGGCTTTTGAGGAAAAGTGCTGGGAGGTTTAAAAGATAGTTCAGGCTGGGTGTAGCGGCTCATGCCTGTAATCCTAGCACTTTGGAAGAGGTGGCAGGATCCCTTGAGATCAGCCTGGGCAACATAGCTATACTGTCTCTGTAAATTAAAAAAAAACCAATTAGGCGTGGAGGTCGAGGCTACAGTGAACTGTGATGATGCCACCACTCCAGCCAGGTTTTTTTTTTTTGAGATGAGTTTGTGTCACCTTGGCTGGAGTGCAGTGGCATGATCTCAGCTTACTACAACCCTCGATTCCCAGGTTCTAAGCGATTCTCCAGCCTTAGCCTCTGGAGTAGCTGGGATTACAGGAGCGTGCCACCAGGCCTGGGTAATTTTTTTGTATTTTCAGTAGAGCCGGGTTTTTGCCAGGTTGGTCAGGCTGGTTTTGAAGTTCTGACCTCAGCCTCCCAAAGTGCTGGGATTACTGAGCCAGTGTTCCCGCCCCATACTTCAAATCCAAATTTGAAAACTCTGTGGGACCTGACTCAAACCTCTCCAGGGCTGCTGCTGTCCCTCCTGGCTGTGTGGCATTGAGTAGTGTCCTGAGTTAGGCTCTTCCCTAATTTATCTTTTGCCCCCATCACCAGCCCCATGTAGATGCCAAGTGATGCCCACCCAGCAGCCCCACTTTCTAGATGTGGAAACAGTCCAGAGAGGGGAAAAGGACTTAACCAAGGGCCTCCAACTGCTGGGCGCTTGCTTTTCTATGAACCTCGAACTGAGCCCGTTAGAGCTGACACCTTCGTATTCAGTGTTAATGTGTACAGTGAGTACTCTGCTTTTGAAAAATTGTCAAAAGCACAGCAGCAGCTAAGGAATGCCCTCCCTCCAGTCAGGTCTCACCCCATGTTCGGGTGCATACTCTAGGGGTCACAGAAGGAAATTGATTTCATTAACAGTGGTGGCGATCTGAGCTGCGTGGAAATTCACTGGGCCTGATGGAGAAGGATGCAGCCTTGGAAATTTTCCCTTTCCCTTTGGGTCTTTTGGGCTCCCTGCCAGGTTCCCGTGCAGGCTTGTAACAGCTCTTCAGGGATCCTAACATGGCATCTGAGTGCTCTGTGATGTGTTTTGCAATTTCCTAGAGGTGGATGCTGCCTGAGGGTCATGTTTTCGCCCCTGCTTCCCTGTGGCGTCTGGGTCAGTCTGTGGAGTGGCTGAGTTTGGATCTAGGTGGTTGGCATTAAAGTGGCATGTGCCTGTAATCCCAGCTACTGGGGAGGATGAGGCAAGAGAATTGCTGGAACCGGGGAGGTGTGAGACTCTGTTTAAAAAGATCTCCCTGGCTTTTGTTTTCTTCTGAGACAGAGTCTTGCTCTGTTGCCCAGGCTGGAGTGCAGTGGTGTGATCTCAGCTCACTGCAGCCTCTGCCTCCTGAGTTCAAGCGATTCTCATGCCTCAGTCTCCAAGTAGATGCCCACCACCATGTCCAGCTAATTTTTCTATTTGTATTAGAGATAAGGTTTCACCATGTTGGCCACGCTGGTCTCCAACTCCTGAGTTCAAGTGATCCTCCCACAGTGCTGGGATTGCAGCCACTGTGCCTGGCCTGTGGCTTTGGGTTTTCTGCTTATCGTCCTGGCCTGCTTATTTTCCTCCCACGAATAGTCACTATGTGTCCCAAGTGTGCCAGGGTCCATGGCTTGTCCTGGGGACACAGGGGACAGATGCCATCTTGGTCATGGGGGAGGATGTAGCATTTTCATGAAGAGCTATGATTGAAGGGGGGGGGCTCATGGCTGCTTCAGGAGCCCAGAGGAGGCACCTGACCCCACCAGGCTTCCTTCCAGACAAGGTGATAGCGGTGCTGAGAGGAACAGGTCTCAGATACTGGACTCTCAGACCTGGACACGGGGTAAGCACTGGGCCCCTACCTTCAAGGCAGGAATCCCTGAGAGCTTCATCTCTTTCCAGGTCAGCCATGTCATCTGAGCCTCCGCCTCCACCACAGCCCCCCACCCATCAGGCTTCAGTTGGGCTGCTGGACACCCCTCGGACCCGAGAGCGCTCACCATCCCCTCTGCGGGGCAACGTGGTCCCAAGCCCACTGCCCACTCGCCGGACAAGGACCTTCTCAGCGTGAGTCTAGAGCTGGCTGGGGACACTTTCTCTGATGGGTTTCTGGCCATTTTTGGAAGTCAGTGTCCCAGTCTGTCAAATAGGCAGACCTGGGGCTGAACTGATGGTGAGAAAATGGGACAGTGCCTTCTAAATTCAGGGTACTGCCCAGCCCACAAGAACCTGTTACGAGCTGGGAGTGGCAATGGGTGGGGTCAGAATCACTGGGCTTTAACCACACATACCACACGACAGTCTCTTTCCATGTGAGACTGAATTCTGCAGCTGCAAAATGGGCACAGTGCCAGGGTTGCAAAGGACCCACACGATGCTAGGCAGATGCCGGTCTTCGGCCCTGTGAGTGGACAACACTTCTGTTACAAGTAATTAATCATTAGCTTCTGGAGGGATGCTCAGTGTTCAACTCCCTTTTTCCAGGTGGGTGTGGGTAACAGGTCTGAGATTGCACATAGCAGCCCTCACCAGGGCTTCCTGGGGCACAGCTGTTGGCAGGGGCTGGAATGAGTTTCGTGTGTCCAGGGGAGCTGGTGGCTATCCTAGAGTGCTTTTGGGACCCCTCACACTCCCCTCTTCTCTGTCAGGACCGTGCGGGCTTCACAGGGCCCCGTCTACAAAGGAGTCTGCAAATGTTTCTGCCGATCCAAGGGCCATGGCTTCATTACCCCAGCTGACGGCGGCCCTGACATCTTCCTGCACATCTCTGAGTGAGTTGGTGGCAGTGGTGTGTGACAGTGCTGGGTGTGAGGACAGATGGCAGGCCTGTGTGACTCCTCTTGTGGGATACAGGGTGGTGACAGGTGTGTGTGAGGCTGTGGGTGACACAGTACTTGGGATTGTTCCTGGGTGTGTATGCGAGCAGCAAGGACTGCTGGGGTGAGTCCAAGTGCTCACTCTATCTGGCTAATGGGGAACCCTTTTTGGCCTGGGGATCAGGGTGGCTTCCTGCCCTCATTTGGGGAAGTGGACAGGAAAGGAAGTGTGGGGTGGGCCCCTTTCTCCTGCTGCATGCTCAGTGATGTTCTTTGTCCTTCCTTCCTATCTGGAAGCCCTTGGAGAGCCTTGGGGCAGGATGCACACATTCTAGGGCTGGGCTGGAAGGCACCCAGCGCCCCCTCCCCGCTTTTCTGGCCCAAGGCCAAGTCTTTTACTTCAGGCAGGGGCAGACAGAGTCCTATTCCACACAGCCGAGCCACAAATTGCCCAGTACATACCAGATGGACGGGCAGGCAGGAGAAAAGTGCCACAGCGATGCATTTCACATATGAATGCATGCATCGATGTGTAAATGTATTTCCATACTGCTTCTTCCCAGAAAGGATTTTGAATCAGTAAGGAAAACATAGAGGTCGGGGCAAATAAGAGGGATGGAAATACTGTGATGTCTGGGTTCTGCTGCTAAAAGTGTATTGCGGATTTCTGAGCTCCCTGGTGACCAAATCAGAGGGAAAGTGTTTACCATCTGATTCTTGAATCGAATCAAAACAAACCAGTTACTGGGAGAGCTGGCTGGCCCTGGCATTTTCAGTCTGAATGGGGTTTTCCTTCCACACTCCGACTTATCAAGGGGACATCAAGATGCCAATCTCATGTGAGATGGTGACTCATGTCCCCTAAAAAGTAAGAGAACATTCCTGGGGGTGGTCGCAGGGAGAGAGGCCCCTTCAGGAACTAGCTTCAAGCACCCAGGGGACCTTCTTGAACGCTCACTGGGAGGCCAGGTGCCGTGGCTCACGCTTGCACTCCCACCACTTTAGGAGGCCACAGTGGGCAGATCACTTGAGGTCAGGAGTTTGAGACCAGCCTGGCTGACATGGTGAAGCCCTGTCTCTAATACAACAATTAGCCAGGCATGGTGGTGAGCTCCTGTAATCCCAGCTACTTAGGAGGCTGAGGTTGCAGTGAACTGACATCATGCCACTGCACTCCAGCCTGCGCCATAGAGCAAGACTCAAAAAAAAAAAAAAAAAAAAAAGCCTCAGCGCCAGGGCCTCATTTCTCTCTGGCTTGGACCAGCTGTCTCTACTCTCCACAAGGCCAGGCTCCCTCACACATTTCATGTCACCATGCAAGCACCCACAGGTGGCTGAGCTCTTTCAGCGCCAGTAACCAACGTCCCATGGCCTCCTTGGCTAGGACAGAGGCTGGGGGCAGTTCTTTGGAAAGGGTTTTCCAGTGGTCAGATGGTACCCACTTTGGTGGCCCTATAGACCAGAGGGGTGCTAGTGTCTTGAGTGTGTAGTCTGTGAGCCTTTTCCCACTGTGAGCCCTGACTGCTTTTGTTGTGCCCTGATAGTGTGGAAGGGGAGTATGTCCCAGTGGAAGGCGACGAGGTCACCTATAAGATGTGCTCCATCCCGCCCAAGAATGAGAAGCTGCAGGCTGTGGAGGTTGTCATCACCCACCTGGCACCGGGCACCAAGCATGAGACTTGGTCCGGACATGTCATCAGCTCCTAGGAGACGCTGGAAGCACCCCTTCTGTGCCTGTGGGAGACTTGGTGAGGTGGCGGCGGCAGACCCTGGAGATGACATTCTTCTACATGAGATGGGGCATGGGCCCTTTCAAGTATCTCCTGGAGGAAGGGGTGTGTGGGGCAGGCATGAGGTGCTCCTGGCCACCAGCACAGCCTCTGACCATCGCAACAACCTCTCACCACCTGAAGAGAATTAAAAGCATTTAAAAAGTAGAAGTGCCCCCACTGGTGGCTGCGTGGAGGTTACAACCCCAGCCCAGGGAGTGGATTGAGGGTGTTTCTCCAGCTGCTCACACACATGGGCTCAACCCACAGCATCCCTCTTTCTCCCGGAGCCACAGGCTCCAAATCCCTGTATTTGGCCCACTGGCAGCTAACACGGACCCCATATGACTTCCCCAAGGTGAATTTCCATGCAAGTGCCCCATGCGCCTCTCCTTGGACTGGGCAAAACAGTCTAATTCTTGGCTTGTTTGGTACTAGGGGAGCTGCCTTTAAGTGGGTGGGAAAATGGAGGAGGGGTTTGGATTGGACAGATTTTGCTTTTAGGTGCCTTTGCGGTGGGAGTTGGCTTACATAGCTGGCTGTCTGGGGAAGACAGTTTCCCCAAGCACTCCCAACCCTGGGCACAGCAGGCTGGTAGGGGAAGCTGAACCCCTAACAGTGCTGACCTTTTCACCTGCCTTCTGGTCGTGTGACCATCACTCAACAGCCATTTCACAGCCCCTATCATTACGGTGGTGGGAAGGGCAGGCTCTTTAAAAAACTTTCTCCCAATAGATCCAGAAAAGAGTAGGCAGCTTACCTCCTGACAGTCTGGCAAAGCTGAGAAAGTTGAAGAAGTATACCTTTGGTGGGGGCGGGGGGGTGGTTCTTTAAAACCAACTCCTACTCAGGTGATCTGCCAGTCTCAGCCTCCCAAAGTGCTGGGATTACAGACGTGAGCCACCGCACCCAGCTTGCAAACTTCTTTGTAGGTATTTCTGGTAAACAAATCCTTAGATTTTCTTTGCTGTGGTTTTGGTTTGGCTTTAGTCACGATTTGAAAGTAGAAATAGCTAGGCATTACACTTTTGAAATACATGGCCTGTATGTCATCAAGAATCCACCTGTCAACACATGGAAGCAAACCTTTTGTAAAGAATGGCTTTTGGGCAGACAGTAACTCAGAAAAGAGGGAGGATGGTTTGATGCTGGAAGCAGGAACAGCTTCAGGTACTTACCAGCTCTGCCGAAGTTTGTCCTTTCAGCCTAGGAACTGCTGCCTTTGAAAGGGGTGCAAAGTTGTTTTAAAACAGGCAAATCTGCTTGTTTGTTGCGAGAGTGTGATAAACAGCCAGTTCCCATCCCAGTGAGGTGCTGGGCAGTGTTTTCTTCGCCCGCAGTACCCCTTGTACCGCCTCACTCTCCTCTCGGGCCTCTGCCTTCTGCTGGGTCAAAGGTGGCCTTTTTCTCTCCAGCCGTGAATTGTTCCCTGGTGGTTTCCCAAGGGCCCATCTGCTGGTACAGCTACCCTTCCAAAGCTAAGACCCGCACTTTGAAAGACCTGCGAGGGCTCCTTCACTCCCCCCGGCCCCTCTCCCGCTCCATCCTCACACCTTGGCATGGTGGCAGGGCTGTTACCTGTGTGCTGGTGCTCTGGCCAGTGGTGAGCTGGGGCGTTGCATTCTGCTATTCAGGGGTAACCTTTGGATTCTCTCTTGGCAGAATCCTTTGCCAGCGGCTCTTGCTGTTCTTCCTGTATGGCCACAGCTCTTTAAATCAATAGGTATTCTGGAACTGCAGGATGTCAAAACTGGAAGGGACGTGACACCAGATTACAGAAGGTGAAGATTCTGGAGGCTCTGGGAGGGATGGAGGGTGTTGCTGGCTGACCAAGAATTAGAGTCGAGGAGTCCTGAATCCTCAACCTTTCCTCCCACTGGCCGTCTTTCTCCCAATAAAGTGTTTTGTGCAAAGCTGTGTATGTGTCTGTGTGGAGGCTGGCTCACCAAGGAGCTTTTCCTTTAAGTCCTCAGGTAAGGATGTCTCCCTCAGGCAAGGCTGACACACTTGTCAGTCTTTTTAGGGGGTGGTGAATAAGAAGATGGGATCATCTGTTACTCTTCAATCATCATTTTCTAGCATAAGAAAGCTTAGCAGGAAGGAGAATGCAGCTTCCTGGCAACAGAAAATGCCACCAGCGGCCGTCCATCCTCTTGCCTCTGCCTTCCACAGTGCTGGGAGTACAGGTGTGAAGCCACTGTGCCCGGCTGCTGTTACAGACATTTGATGGATGTTTGCTAGGTTGGGCACAGTGGCTTACGCCTAAAATCCCAGTATTTTGAGAGGCTGAGGCAGGTGGATGGCTTGAGCTCAGGAGTTTGAGGCCAGCCGGGCATCATGGTGAAACCTGGTCTCTACCAAAAATACACAATTAGCTGGGAATGCTGGCATTAGCCTGTGGTCCTGGCTACTTGACAAAATCCCTTGAACCCGAGAGGCAGCGGGTACAGTGAGCTGAGATGGCGCCACCCTACTCCAGCCTGGGTGATAGCAAGACTATATCCCAAAAAAGGAAAAATGTCCATCTCTGCACCACCTAAAGTTACACTTGGGACACACTTGCCATAACGAAACCTCCCCAGCAGAGCACAATGCCCCCCGCCCCCCCATAGAGTGGCCCTGGCCAATCACTGCTCTGTAAACCAAGAACAGGGGTTCTCACACCTCCCTACCTTCTGACACTCATTCCCACTGTCCCAACGGCAAACCATTCTTCCCTGCTATGGACTTTTAAACAGATGAGGCTTCAGGTCCCAGGGAGAGTCCATGGCTGTATATCTTTTCAATCCACTTTGTGCCTGAATCTCCCTTTCTTCTCCTTCCCCTGCCCCTCCCCCTCCACTTTCCCTTCGCCTTCCCTTCCTCTCCTTCCACCTTCCCTTCCCATCCCTTCTGCCTTCCCTTCTCATTCCTTTTGCCTTAACTTCTCTTCTACCTTCCCTTCCTTTTCCTGCCGCCTTCCCTTCTCATCCCTTCTGCCTTCCCTCCCCCTAGACCTTCCCTTCCGCTTTCCCCCATCCATTCCTGTCCCATCCCATCTGCAGTGTCGATCCTCCTGCCTCAACCTCCCAAGAAGTTGGGACTATAGGCACCCACCACCGTGCCTGGCTAATTTTGTGTCGTTTTAGTAGAAATGGGGTTTCACCATGTAACCAAGATGGTGTTCATCTTCCGATCTAATGATCTGCCCACCTCGGCCTCCCAAAGTGCCGGGATTACCCACATGAGCCACTGCAATCAGAGAGATGGACATTTTTCTTGCCAGTATTATACAATGATTTCCAAGGCGCACTGGGAGAAAGTATATAAAATAAAACCAGCCCATCAAACCTGTTTAGGGAGAGGCTAAAGTAGGCACTTAGCTCAAAACAAATTTGGGAGGCCGAGGCGGGTGGATCACGAGGTCAAGATATCGAGACCATCCTGGTCAACATGGTAAAACCCCATCTCTACTAAAGATATAAAAAATTAGCTGGGCATGGTGGCGCGTGCCTGTAATCCCAGCTACTCAGGAGGCTGAGGCAGGAGAATTGCCTGAACCCAGGAGGCGGAGGTTGCGGTAAGCCGAGATCGCGCCATTGCACTCCAGCCTGGGTAACGAGTGAAACGCCATCTCAAAAACAAAAAGAAATGTGCCGATTTACTATATGGTGTACTACATGGGTGGCACGAGGTAGGGTTTGGCAAAAGCTGAAAGTGGGGGATGGGCACAGTGGCTCACGCCTATAATTCCAGCACTTTGTGAGGCCAAGGTGGGTGAATCACTTGAGGTCAGGAGTTCAAGACCAGCCTGGCTAACACGGTGGTGGCTGGCAGCGCATGTCTGTATTCCCAGCTACTTGGGAGGCTGAGGCAGGAGAATCGCTTGAACCTGGGAAGCAGAGAGCCGAGATTGTACCACACTGCACTCAAGCCTGGGTAACAGAGGAAGACTGTCTCAAAAAAAAAAAAAAAAAAAAAAGAAATAAAGGCTGGGCGTGGTGGCTCAGCACTTTGGGAGGCCTAGGCAGGTGGATCACCGGAGGTCAGGAGTTTGATAGCAGCCTGGCCAATGTGGTGAAACCCCATCTCTAGAAAATATACAAAAATAGGTGGTGGCAGGTGCACATATTCTCAGCTACTCGGGAGGCTGAGGCAGGAGAATTGCTGGAACCCAGGAAGGGGAGGTTGCAGTGAGCCGAGATTGCATCACTGCACTCCAGCCCAGGCGACAACAGCGAGACTCCGTCTCTAAAAGCAAGCAAGCAAACAAACACCCCCAAAAACTCAAGGTGGGACTGGGAAGACATTTAGGAAACTAGCCTTGGGTGAAGGTGGTAGTGAACAATGAGCTCTGATCTTGAATTTGGGGTGCTGTGGAGAGCAGCGTGGAGGTTGCAGGGAGTCTGAAGGCCCAGTTGCCTCTGGTTAGGTTTGGAGGAGCCTGCCTGGGCTGAGGTGGCCTGCTGGGGCCCAGACCCAGAACACTTGGGAGGGGTGGAGAGGAAGTGATTCAAAACCACGTATGCCTGGATATGTCCCGATTACGGCAACATCAGCCCAACTGCCCAACCAGTTCCTCTCCTGGCCCCTGTGGGCACTCCCCTTCAAGTAGGTGGAGAGTGACAGGTGGATAGATCAGGAGTGTGCTCTGGGCCCCTCCCTCAGAATCAGGTTCAAGCTCAGCTTCCTGGCTAGCCTCTCCCTCTAGGGAGCCAGAGGCCTGCCCTGCACTCACCGGCTGCTCAGGTTCAACCCAGGCCTTTCCCCTGAGGCTTCAGCCCTGGGTGATCTTGAGCTCAGGGTCAGCTTCTGCAGTGCTGGGGATGGTAACTTTGAATAGCGCTAGGCTGGCCTGGGTGCAACCTCTGTGCTTTACTCTGGCTCAAAACTTGCCTACCATGTTTAAATTGCTTGTGACAGTGTCTTTATCTTGCCAGCCCCTAAGGCAGAGGGAAGACTGTCCCTACCTTGTAAAGGTTCTGGGTTGGGAGGGAGGTACTGAATTAGTAATGGCTCATATTACTATTCGAAGTGCTTTAAATTCCATACGTGGTAAGGACTATCCCATTTGACAGATGAACGAACTGAGGCGAAGATGAACTTACCCTAAGTCACACAGCAGTGAGTAGCAGCAGAACTAGGCTTGGAGCTTTGGAGGGCGTGCTCTTACCTGCCAAGTGTAGAACCTGCTGCTCTGCAGACATGTGGAAGGCACCAGGAAGCACTGCACATGCGTCAGTTAGCTGTCATTTAGCAAGCAGACGCCCCTGGAGTAACCCCCAGGAAGCCAGCCTGGGATGCAGTGTGATGACAAGAAAGTAGAAGGAAGGGGTTAGTTCAAAGTCCTTTTGAAGGGGGAAGGGAGTGTCAATTCTGACTGCAGAGGGAGTGGCAGGCAGGGCAGGAGGGGCTTGAGGGGCCTGGGGAGAGTCTGAAGCAGCCACTGTGGGAACGGGGCAAGACGGTGGCCCACGCCTCTGCTGGGCATCAGTGCCCTGGCAGACTCGGGGTACTCACCTGAGGGCAGCCCTGCGCAGGCGGGGACGCAGCAGAAACCTTCCATCTCCAGTTACAACAACTTTGAAAGACTCAGCTGTCTTCGTTTGACGGAATACCTTAAGAAAACCTGTAAGAAACAGCAGACCCTCACCCAATGGGCAGAAAAGCAGCAGAGGAGTTGTCTGTGGGTAACAAGAACCTGCAACTCCGCAGAGGGAGGGGCCACCAGCATGACAGAAAACCAGAGCAAAAAGTGGCTCTCAGATCTGGAGGGGCTGGGGTTCCCTTCCAGAATCTGCAAACATCGGAGGAAAACATTATCAGAATGAGAAATAGGAAACAAAATCACTTTAATGTGCTGCTATTCATTTTGGAAGGTCTTTACAGTATCATTTGCAAAGTTCAACAAGGAACAATACCACTGGATGGCCGTGTCCTGGGTGTTGCCAAGATGAGGAACTAGCTGCTTTCACCCCACCAAATCCGGGGTGCAAACAGCTACAGGCCTGAGTGGCTGGAAGGTATGGAGGGAACTAGGTTTAGCTGTGATGAAGTACCTGGCTGAGGGCTGGGGGCGGGAGTGCTGGGCAGTCAGGGACCCCCTGGCCCCAGACTCAGGTTGGCAAGCGCCCAGTGGAGGCCACACAGCCCCAGCACCAAGCAATGGAGTCCCAGTGGTTCCACATCCTAAAAACTGACATGTGAGCTGTTTCCTAGGAAAGTTCTCTTCCATGTGTTCTGGATGAGGCCTGGGATCCTTCCAGTTTCACTAAGAAGGTGCAGAAGGTAGAAAAGAGTGAGGGATGCGGGCATGGCTGCAGCTGCACTCTGCCCTCTCAGTTGTCAAGGATGTGGCCTGGGATCCTTCCAGTTTCACGAAGAAGGTGCAGAAGGTAGGAAGAGTGAGGGTCACAGACATGGCTGCAGCTGCACTCAGCCCTCTCAGTCATCGAGTCTGGGTGAGGGCCTGGGTGGGCACAGACAGAAGAGCAGCTCCTCTTCCTGTTCCCTGGCCGGGGTCTGGCTCGATCCCTGGGAAACTAGAGACGAAGGCCTCTGGGAAGCCAGCCAGAGCAACCAGAAGGTCCTTTTGGTGAAGTCTGACATACCACGTTAGTTTCTCTGAACCTGGGTGAGAACTGGTCCCCCACGGAAGGACTTTTTGCCATTGCCAGTTCTCCAGCGGGGCAGCTGGTTCCCACTGCCTCCATCTCAGAGACAGAGAAGCAGCCCGGCTATTCCAAGTGTAATGAGTACAGAGCCAGCCCAAATCTGGGCCAGCTGAGGTGCAAACTCCCTGGGGTCTGCTGCCACTTGGCCAGCTATCTGACAAGCAGGCCTCAGCCTCAAACATGGGAAAACAAAGTGCACCTAGTCCCTGGACATCACCGTGCCCTGCTCACTGCCCTCATCAAGGCAATGCACAGGCAGCAAGTGTTTGTAAACTTTGTCCTGGGATGGGTCACTGCAGATGGCCTGTCCTTGTTTTTCAGTACCAAATTCCATTTTTGATGCTGACACAGGGGTCCATTAAAACCACTTAAGGGCCGGGCACAGTGGCTCACACCTGTAATCCCAGCACTTTGGGAGGCCGAGGTAGGCAGATCATGAGGTCAAGTGATCAAGACCATCCTGGCCAACATGGTGAAACCCTGTCTCTAAAAAAAATACAAGAAAATTAGCTGCGTGTGGTGGCACACACCTATAATCCCAGCTACTCAGGAGGCCGAGACAGAATCGCTTGAACCCAGGAGGCAGGGACTGCAGTGAGCCGAGATTGCACCACTGCACTCTAACCTAGGTGACAGAGCTAGACTCTGTCTCAAAAAAAAAAAACAAAAAACCGTTTATGTTTTCAAAAGAACCACCAAGAGGGAGGGTCCAGGCACATTTTTTCTTTCTGTATCATCCTAGGATGATGGGGAAGTTTCCCCAAAACTATGTGATTGCATATATTAGGTGGGTATTAGACTAGGGGGCTGGGGGTAGGTGGGGAAGACCTTTTGTGGGAGGCATTCTTCTGAGCCATTCTTGACAAATGTTTTCTCCTTCCTTCTGGAAGCCTCTGGCACTGGAGGTGGAGGAATGGTGTGTCGGGGGTGGAGGTCCAGACTGCATGTGCCTGGCACAGGGTGCATCGCCTGGCTGGGCTGGCTGTGGGTGGGTGAGCACGTGGGTGGGCCCTCGGCTCTGGCCACCAAATGCCCCACGCTGTCTTGTCAGCCAGGACCCCCCACTCCTGCTCCGGTGTCAGAAGAGCTCTTCGCAGATCCTGCGTGTGTCCTCAGGCGCTGTCACTGAGTGGCCCACGGTCCTGGGGTCTGTGAAGATCTCATGGTCGTTGCCACCCTGGAAAGACACCAAATGCAGATGAAGTCTCCCTCTCGTTTGTCCCAGGCCATTGCTGATGTGACCCAGGAGCCCAAAACTACCAGAAAAACAAGACTTAAGTGGGCAGAGAGAATTTCTTCAGCTACCTTCCTCTTAGCTGCTAGGAGAAGAACATGAGTACAATTGTTATTGAGAAGAGATTTATAACCTTCCCTTGAACTGCAATTTGGCTTGGAACATGTAATTATGCCTATGAAAGACATCACGACGTTCTTGCGAATATCTTTCTAAGGCTTACTGTTCTATAAAGAAGGCATCAGTGAGTGACAGTATTCTCACAGCCATCAGTTTTTTTAAGCTGAGCCCATACTTTCCTAACAGGTCACAAGTGGGTATCAGGAGGGCAGAGCGCTGGGAGCAGGGCTACCAGGGATCTTCCTGTGATGAGGGACATGGAGACATCAGTGGTGATGGCAGCCTCTGGTCATGTGTGACTTCACTTGAAATGTGGCCAATTCGATGGAGGAACTCAGCTGATTTGATTTTAATTTAAATGCCCCATGTCGGCTGGGCATTGGGGCTGATGCCTGTAATCCCAGCATTTTGGGAGGCCAAGAAGGGTGGATCACTTGAGGTCAGGAGTTTGAGACCAGCCTAGCCAACGTGGCAAAACTCTAGTTCTACTTAAAATACAAAAGTTAGCTGGGTATGGTGGCCCACGTCAGTAATCCCCAGCTGCTCAGGAGGTTGAGGCAGGAGAATTGCTTGAACTTGGGAGGTGGACGTTGCAGTGAGCTGAGATGGTGCCATTGCACTCCAGCCTGGGCTACAAAGTGAGACTCCATCTTAAAATAAAATAAATGGCCCCACATGACTGGGGTCCGAGCTGCTGGCTAAGAGCAGGGTCTCTGGAGCAGGTGGCTTGGGTCGGATGCTGGTTCTCCCACTGACCAGCGGTGTGGCTGTGGCAACTCCCTGTCTCCAACGTGGGGTCATGGTGGAACCCTGGCCAGAGCTTTGTTGTCAGAAGTTCAGGAGATGATGGTGGGGGTCACACCCTGGTAAGATGAGGAAACCGAGGCCTGAGAAAGTCTGCAAGGGCCCATGTCTAGGAGGACCTGGGCATGTTCTGCCATGGTCCATGCCTGAGTTGAGTGCTCCAATCTGTGTCCCCATCACCCCCACCAATCCCGCTGGGCTCAGGTTAATGAATCAGGCTACCTGCCGCCCCCACAACCCTGAGCCCTGCAGGTAAGCCCCTGCTTTTCTCATTGTAGAATTCCTATATTTTCCTCATAAAATTGGATAAACACTCTAACTGAAGCCTTAAAATAATTTATGACTGGCTTACAGTATGATGAACACAACTGCAGAGAAAAGGGATTTTTCTCATAAAGCACTGAGCACAAAGCCAACATGGAAACCATGATTGCTGCACAGAAAATCTCACACCCTTTTCAAGAACAACTCTGCAAATTTCATTGTAAGAACCTATCCCCAGGCAGATGGCTTCCCCAGGTGGAGGTGAAGTTTCAGGCTTCAGGAGGGAATGTCACTGGGCCCAGGGAGCACTGGGTGGAGTCAGGTTAGGAGGCCATGAACTTGCCATCTCTTCCAGTCCAGCCACTCAGAAGCCTGCCAGGGCCTTGCACTGGCCTCACACACTTTTGTACCATGAAGAGCCTGAGGCCGTCAGACGGCCCTGCATTTCATGGCCACCATCTGCTACCTATGTGAATACATGTGAACTCAGTTCTGGTAATTCTGATTTTCCCTTTGAACATAGGGTCTTGCTATGTTGCCCAGTCTGGGCTCAAGCAAACCTCCTGCCTCAGCCTCTCGAGGAGCTGAGACAAAGACTTTGTGCCACAGTGCCGAGCTAGTTCTAATCTTTTTTTTTTTTTTTTTTGAGACAGAGTCTTGCTCTGCCACCCAGGCTGGAGTGCAATGGCGTGATGTTGGCTCACTGCAACCTCCGCCTTCCAGGTTCAAGTGATTCTCCTGTCTCAGCCTCCCAAGTAGTTGGGATTACAGGCATGCGCCACCATGCCTGGCTAACTTTCGTATTTTTAGTAGAGGCACAGTTTCACCATGTTGGTCCGACTGGTCTTGAACTCCTGACCTCAGGTGATCCGCCGCCTCAGCCTCCCAAAGTGCTGGGATTGAGGAAGGAGACTCAGGCATCTGGGATTCCCCATCCCCCTCTGTCATCCACTGTGCATCTCAACAGAAGAGAGAGCAGGCTAGCTGGCGCCTCCTGAATCTCCTTCCTGAAAATACATGCTTGGTCTGGGGGAAACTCTCTGGAAGACACTATTTTTACTTAAAACGAGATCAAACCAGAAAGCTTTTCACATGTGAGTCCTAAAACTGTAAACCAGAAACCTTTCATATGTAATTTCTAAAGCTATAAACCTAAGATTCTGCCATGTGTAACATCTAAAGTATAAGCCTATATAAAGTCAGAACCTTCCTTTGTTAGATGAGCTGGGCTTTCCACAAATTACTGCCTGGTCTCCTGGCCGAATAAACTCCTCCCTTCCCTCCTTTATTCTGTGTTCCAGAGATCCATTTCCCGTGGCCGCTCCTGCTACAGGATTACAGTCATGAGCCACCATGCATGACCGTAATTCTTACAATTAAAAAAATATTTCCTTCAAGAATGGCATGGTGGATAAAAGTCATGGAGAACCTAACAAAGGCACAACCTAGCTGGGCGTGGTGGTGAGCACCTGTAGTCCCAGCTACTGGGGAAGCTCAGGCAGGAGAATCACTTGAACCCTGGGGGGCTGCGGTTGCAGTGAGCTGAAAATGCACTACCGTACTCTGTCTCAAAAGAAAAAAAAACAAAAAACCAAAGGCACAACCAACTCTCGCATGCCTCAGAAGAGCCAAACATGCTCCCCCTCACTCAGGGACTTAGGAGGGGGAGTTAGTGTGACAATTAATTATGGTAAAAGCCCCATAAAACTGCATACCTCAACCATACCTTGGCTTTCTATTGAAACTGCTCTCTGTAACCCAAATGTGACAGACAAGCAGTTCAAACCCATGCCATCTTGGCCCCCGAGACTTGTAATAAGTAATTAAGGACTGTAATTTCCACCCTACCCATACAATGTGTAAACAAATGCTAATCAAAAAACAAAACAAAACAAAACAAAACAAATGCTAATCTTGACTTTTCTGAACCACTTAAATAACAATCAGAATGTCAAAAGTCTCCTGGCCCTCGGAATGTCCGGAGCCCCTCACCCTCAGGAGATGATTTACAGAATCCAGTAGCCCTCAGAACATCTGAAGCCCCTCACCCGCACCCCTGCCTCTCACCCTCACTCCTGAGGTGGTTTTACGGGTATAAAAGGTCTTGACACCCTCCTTACATTAGTATTCATATATCAACACGACACACCTTTCTAGAACACCTACTATGTGCTAGGCATTGCTTTAGCAGCTAGAGATACAGCGCATGCCAAACCCACTCACAGCTGTCTTGGGAGCCTGTGGTCTGGTCGGGGAGACCAGCCATGAGAAGACAGCTCTTGGCGCCTTCTTGGGCAAAGGCAGGAAAGGGCTGTCAAGACCGGAGGGTGAGGGAACCCTGGCACCTGAGGGAAGTGAGGGGACAGGCCTTGTGGCCATCAGAAAAGAGGCTGAAGAGGGAGGATGGGCAGGGGCTGGGCCAGGCCACAGAGGGTCTCATAAGATTGTGACAAGTATCTGGGATTTCATGGAAAGCCACCTGAAGGCTGCAAGCCTGGGCCATAATAAGATTACTTTACAACGGGCTCTCTCTCGAGAACGAGTAGGGGCTGAGGACGCAACTGAGGGGAGCCGTTAGGAGGCTCCTGCAGCCAGCCAGGGTACAAAGAAGACAGAGACCATTACCTGCGAAGAGACCCCTGAAGCACAAAGGGTTCATGCGTGTCCCCCTATAGCTGCTAGGCCTGCCCTTCCCTGCAGATGTCACATGCAAGGGACAGTCTCCGTGGTCCTGCTGGGGGTTAGCGGGGAGGTGTCTGTGGACTCTGAGTGAGCTGTGTGCATGTAACCTGCTGACACTTAATAAAGCTAGGTCTGGAGAATCAAAGCACACCCAGGAAGGTGAAATCCTCCCAACCCTAGCTGTGGGAGCCTTGCTGGGTCCCTTCTCAGCTCCATCCACTTTCAGAGAACAGCAAGGCTGGCAGGAGACCGCATCACAGACACAACCTGCCTCGGGCCTTCCTTTTCTCCCCGCCAAGGGTCTGCTTCTCCTTTGTGACTCCTTCCTCGGGTGCAGCCTTCTAGGGGCTATGTGGAGCTTGCATACCAGAGTAAGCACCAGGCAGGCAGGGCAGACCCTAAACAAAATGGAACGAAAGCTGACTGCCCTCTAGAAGAATAAGGCTTCAGAGAACCGGAAATTTCAAATGCTGGATTTGCATATGCAGTAAAGGTCACTTGATTCTAGTTGGGAAATGCAGCCATCCGCCAGCTCCATGAACAAAAACCCTGCTCCCTGGAGAGGGAGGGAAGTGGGGAGGCCTGAAAGATCGATCCAGTTTCTCGTTACAGTGTACCTGACCAGCACCAAAGGGAGGCCATGGCTCAGTGAAATCAGAGCATTAATATTTAAACCCCTAAAAGGCCCAAAGTCTGCAGGTGAAACAGAAGATGTAGGGTTGGCCAGGTTCAGATGATTTTTGGGGGGGGGGGGGGGCGCTAAAGAGTCTCCCTGCCCCAGCCCATTTCTGTACACGCTGTGGCTGACCTGTGCAGTGTGGTAGTGAGCCCCAATCGTCCAGAGGAACAATGTCATGGATCACAGCCTGCGTGAACTGCTTAGCTGGCTAGATTGCGGTGGCTGTGTGCTATGTGGACGCCTCCTAGAGCACAGATGCACTCTCTGTAGCTCGTGGTCAGGACTCTTATTTAAGTTTATTTTGAGACAGATTCCCACTCTTGCTCAGGTTGGAGTGCAGTGGCGGGATCATGTTCTTGCTGCAGCCTCCATCTCCCGGGCTCAAGCCATCCTC